GGAGATCAATTCCGCTGTTCCGTGTTCACGTCTCACTGGACGGTTTGGTTCATGATATCTGCACTTTCCGCTCAGATTGTCAATCAAACCCCTTACCACGAAGAATATCCTGTCTGTTGACGGTTCCAGCCCACACCTAGACTCCAAAACAAATTAACTTCGCAATCTTTATGTTGCAGAGTCCAGTTTTTCCGCGTTACCATCTCCAGTTTATGCTGAAATACAAACTATCGGTCACCAGTGGACGGCACAATATATATTTCATACTTGTCTGAGGACAGACTGTGTACCAAACAAACCATGGTACAATAATCTTTATAAAAAGAAAAAAGGTTGCATGATGGGCTTGTGGGCTGAATACTGCCAGGTTGTCCAGGCCAAAGCAGGTGAATTTTCTTGAGGAATCCACAACCGGAGCCTTCAGCTAGCCAAAGCCTGACCCGCAAGGCAGCGGGGCGATGTGTGAAAACCGCAATCCATTGGAAGCCGGTGTCCAGTTCATCGGATCATATGCCCTTTGGATGGGGTCGGACGTCCAAGGTACCCAATTCACCTCAATGCCCAAATGAGCCGGTGAACACTGCCACAACCGGAAAGGTGTGGGTGTGGTTCGTACGCTTCCTTATGGTTGGTTTGGAATCAGGGTTTTTGGCCAACTCCCCTAGGTGAACTGCCAGTGGTCCATCAATCCGGTTGTAACCCTGGATATTGGCTTTTCTTCCTCAGGTTACTGGGAAAACACCACTGAGCTAAAAACATACCTGCTTGACAATTTCACAACGCAGAAACAGTAAATGGTTTGCTGTGGTGCTTTTTAATGTATCAGAGTTTTCTTGAATTTCAGACCTGTTCGCAATTCGCTCATCATCCTTCATTCTTGTGTTTCGTTGGAATTTTCAGCAACTTTCCTCATTTACATCCACTTGCCTACATACATGCGTGGATCTGAAATATGGAGGCGTTAAAATGCGTGATTCGTTCATATAAATCTACGGTTTTCAGAGGATTTCATTCTTGTACACCACTATGCAAAAACACTCGAGTGGCAGTCGTACGACGCACCAGAAACCAATCCATCCCATTGACGTATGAGCAGACCAAGAAACCTCATCAAATCGGTGTGATGAAATCTTGGAATTCTTGGAACACTTCAAATCTTAAAGATGAAAGATTGTACACATCAGATATCACATTACATGATGAATTCATTCGCATGTTTATCAAAGGAACATTCCCAGTGGCAGTGGAAAGTGAGGTGGGTTTTTGAAGTTGCTTACTTTCCGTGAAATGCGACCATGCCTGTTCGCACAGTTTTGCGTTCCTACATCCTTACACCTTTTCTTCCCCATTTCTTAAACACATCTACCGTAATTCGTTTAGCAAGCAGTTTAAAACTGTGTAAATGATTATATGTCGGTTACTGTTGTTCTTACTCCTGTTTACTTGTTATTTTTAAACTTTCACGTTTATATTGATTGACTATCGTCCTAAATGAAACCAGCGTTACATACACATACGCATACAAGAACCTGACGAGCGGCAAGGGCCGTGAAACCGTGAACTTTTTCCCAGTCATTCTTATACTGTTCATTATCAGACCACTAAAAATGAACCCTAACGTGGAGTTGGCGGAGGTTAGACGCATCTTAGAGGCTTGTTCGTCTCGAATCCACTCCCCGAGCTGCAAATGCGATGTGTTGCATAACACACACACACACACACACACACACACACACATATATATATATATATATATATATGCAAAACAGCTAGCATTTCAAACAATAGAACGTTTTTGAGGACTCATTTGTAGTGATCAACTCCGTTTGTCCAATATTTTTCGATGAAGTACTTTTGTTTCCATTCTTTGAATCAAGTCTGAAGTTGATACTTATCTTCAGTACTCGTCAACTTCAATTTATTTTTCTCCTTTATGTGCTCTCTGTTTCCTCACTTCGTTATGCCTAGTATTCTAACTAGACCGTAACCATATTTCCCTCAACAGGTTATCATAAAACGGCAGTTCAATATTGTTCGTGTGGCCTTTCTCCTATCATTGCGCATTCAACCCTTGGAAGCGCACTTCCTGATCGGATATACGGAGGAAATGCTCTCATCCATTCTGCGATGTATCGTTAAACTGGAGGTTCAAATGGTCACTTCAAAGAAAGATGTGATTTTCCGGTACATTTAAAATGGATTATGTACTTAGGATTTGTAAATAGAATTTTATTTCCGTTACATATTCGGTTCTCTTTTATCACTGAAAAGTTTTTTCCATCGTAGTTGCATATTATCTCTCAGTCACTATGTGGTAAACGACCTAACGAACTGCCGAGATGTTTTTAACACATCATTCATCTCGTTCACCAAATTACCACGGTACGGGCCCGAAGATAATGAAGGTCACCGTCAGCACACCAGAAATGACAACCACAGTACTTCAATCTTGGAAACTAAATTGTTCCGCTTTTGGTTGCCGTCCCTTGGTTGCCCATTTGGGTGAACAAGAGGAGAAAAACAGGAAGGTTGAAAGTGGGATCGAAGTAAAAATTGAGAAGTTCACTGAACTGATGATGCAAAGAAATTGAGATGCTCGAACGCCATTGTTTATGACACCCAGCCATATCACTCAGTGTGTCTAACTATCGGTTAAAATCATCCCGAGGTCCCCAACCAGGGAGCCAAACGGGACCTATGTGATCCAGAATCCTGGTTAGGGTTTTAATACCCTCACGCCAGGTCGCAGTTGGACCACCCTTGGCTTTATTCCACCCACTACCTGCCTCGGCAAACATCGCATGCCGTGACAACCTATTTGGTGACCTGCGTAACACATGCCCCAAACAACGTAATCTATGGAGGTCAACCACTTGCTCCAGTGGACAACCGCATTTACCTAAAACTGCGCCCACCCTCAGCGTTCCTCGTCCGGCTGCCTCACCAGATTCGTGCACTGCTGCGTAGACAGCGGTGTTCGAACACCGACAGTCTATCTCTATCCTGTTTCCCTAATGGGCAAGTTTCCGCTCGCATACAGCAGGCTCGGTTGGCATTTGCTAACTTGAGACATTTGTGGCGCCGTCGCGATATCCGGCTGTCTGTGAAGGGTCCAGTGTATGCCGCGACAGTTCGGCCAGTCCTGCTATGCGGTGCTAAAATTTGGC